TAGAAATATCACCATGATAATATTCACTGAAAAAAAAGCATTACAGTTGAGTTCTAATTATATCAACCATTCTCATTGAAATATACACTGTGTATTGGATCGCAGACAGAAAGCTTTTGAATGGTTAGTTGAGTTGGGTATTTACTTTTCTAGTATCGTATCACCCGTTAGCAAGGAGGAAAAACAACTAGTAGCTTTTGTATTCGGGTCAGTGTTGTAATAAATTATTGTTAATTAGCCAACCAAATTTAACTGATTCACCAAGTAGATGTTTATTCACTCGGCTTGTGTTGAAGACGGATTCTACTACACGGTTGCTAAGGTCGAATTCGAAGACCTATGAGTTAACAATAATAATATTTAACTCATTAATATGATATAATTATCAGTATAAATAAACAGTATTGCAACAGACTCCGAATTGATATTCATTTAAAATGTTAATATTTAAAATATAAGTAAAGGAAACATGTTTTTCAGAAGTGATTTACTCCCAAACATCTTCATTCGTAGACATTTATGGACTGATTTTTCTCCTGAGACATCCTTTCCGTCGAGTAACATACATGATGAGTTACTTAAAACAACTCAAATACTTTAAGTTAGAAAATATTTGACTCATCATTTTGAGAAACCCATCTAAATGAAGGATTGAAAGTTGAACATTTCAACCACTAGTTTCCACGATCTATCTTACCCATAGAATTAAAATCCTAACAAAACCGATTAAAAAACAGTCACATTGGAGATTTCGAATCGCTTTTCATTTCGTTTAATTTTGGATCATCAAGATAGTCTTTATAAAACGATGATATGTCATCCAAAGTTCTTTACATTATTTCCATACTTGAGTATTAAGTTGAATTAAATCTAATTTTATTCTCTAATTCTAATTTGAATACGAAAAAAAGAAACTAATCGATTATTCATATTATTCTCCACTTTAAACTTATGTAACACTAATTCAATGATTGAAAGCAAGAGTCAATTGAAGTTAGACCATCAGGGAAAACCTGGAAGCACTGGACGGCCGTTTCGTCCTATTATGGGACTCCTCAGCAGTGCGCATCCATGACCTCGCCTCACGAGATTCGAACCCAGGAGCTACCTACTAATTCAATGAAATAAAATAAACTTTACATTTGAGCATCAGAATTTCTATCTATTATAAAAAAATCGAATCTCGCGAGTGCGGGATCGTGGATGCGCAATGCTGAGGAGTCCCATAATAGGACGAAACGGCCGTCCAGTGCTTCCAGGTTTTCCATGATGGTCTAGCTTCAATTGACTCACGCTTTCAACTATGAAAATACTAAATCTCCACAAAACCCCTTCTGATAATCAAAAAAATAAATATTTATTGGGTATTGCCATTATTATTATTATTATTATTATTATTATTATTATTATTAGTAGTAGTAGTAGTAGTAGTAGTAGTAGTAGTAGTAGTAGTAGTAGTGGTAGTAGTAGTAGTATTTGTAATTTCCTATTCCTGTTAGATTTACATTTCATGCGTATGTGTCTATCCGTGTTTGTGATTACATTTTTATCATAAACCTTTTCTTTTTTTTATAAAAAAAGATTTTAAAAAGTTTTTCTAGTATCCTGCTTCCTGTTCTGATACAAGTATTTACGTCCCCCCTTTTTTCTTTTACGGAAATAAAATATTGCTTTCATGTTAGTAAAGTAGAACTTTGCTCTTCCGGTAAACATTTTTTTTTTTAAAAAAAGAAAAAATCTACCTACTACAATTATTTCTGTTTTAATTTTATTTCTATAATATGATATACAGTTTTGGCACAGCGAACATCGAAAGGGGGATAACTCTCTGGGCTAATTTATGGATTATTGACTATATTATGAAATTTCTATATTCTCTATTATAAGCTTCCAGAAGATCTATTATTAAGTGTTATATGAATTATAATTCCTTAATTATGGCCCACCAAGTATGTTTACCACGTTCGCAGTTTCGCTGTCATTCTTAACCCGTTCGTATATTATTATTATTATTATTATTATTATTATTATTATTAGCTTTATTCAATATTATATTTTTGGTACAATATAGAATTCTCAGCACAAAGTACTTCAACAAGTTTCCGTTTCTTACTTCTTCGTCCTTCCTGACGATAAATATTGAGTGATCGCTAGTTAGAAGTTAGCAGCCCAGTCAATCGACATCTGGATAATGTACATTGTTCTCGCAGCATAATACCAGCAACCACAATATCTCTGATTAGGCCTTCTGTAACCTTTACAGAGAAAGGTTGTACACTTCAGAAACGCACCTGAATAGGTCGTGCAATTAATATCCATAATGATGTATTAAAACAAACAAAATTAGATAAGTTGTTGAAATATCTAGATGACAGAAACAGGTAGCCCAGATGTTTAAACAGGCCGCCACAATGACTTTCTATTTTATGATAAATATATTTCCGTTATATCCCAATGAGTAGAAAATTTGTATTTCTGGCGTTTTTTAACCCTATGTACGTCACTTCTTCAGATTAAACAAGTGGCAAAAATAAATTAACACAAATTTAATTAGTACAAAAGAAGAAAAAAGCAAAATATTTTTAGTACAATAGTTTGATACAGTCCGGTATGTCTGTATATAGATTCTTTATTGTTTGAAATATAAATAATAATCCATAAATTATTCCCAAGATTTTCTCTTTCTTCGATATTTACTCCCCCACAATATATGCATTGTTATTAAATAGTCTAGTTGGTCTGTGGGACGTACATGTTACATATGTCCAACCACTATTTACCTTGATATGCAATTTTAGACGGAATAGGATCTGATTGCATGAAATTCAAGGTTTGATCAAACTATAGCATGGGAGCGCTTTATGAATTCATCCGTCATAGGACTAATCTATATTGGTAGGTACAGGCTACTTGATTGGAGTTCATGTAATAGTCTTCACCAGTGGTATGAGTTTTTAGGCTAAAGAGCCTTAAATCTGTCTCAGTAATAACAAAGACATTCACTTTTTATCCTTCTCTAAATATTGAATTTTAATGTTTATTTGTTTCATACTTTTAGTTCATATACTACTCTTATCAAACCATATTTTTTATTTATCCATTTTCACTATCATTCATGATGGTCTAATGTGACATGACACTTTTAGCTGACTCACATTTGTGCTAGGATATACTATGATTATGACTGAATGTCCGGCCTTTAACAGTGGTTTGCTTTCTCACTCCTGACTTATTAAACTCCACAAGTCACTTTTTGTCACTAAGAGGTCGAAGAATGCGTCACAAATCCAGTGTTTCCTTTTTTATTGTACTTCATCTGATGATGTTAATTGGTGATGAATATTGCTGTCATGTTGTACAATAAGGTTGCCACACTCAATTACCTTTCTTTTGATGGTTCGTATCACTAAATAATCGTAATTAAAGAACCACTGAAAATCAGGAAGCACTGGAAAGCCGTTACGCACCAATCTGAGACTTCCTGGCAGTGTGCATCCGGGATGCTTTCAGGAACCGAGACGAGGTTCTCCAAGTCTCACAGAAAACATTTCACTTTAAACCACTAAATAGGCATCCGATGTTTTATATTTCTACCTTCCATCAATACACACATTGTGCAACCATCCTTCCCTCTCGTCGATGATTAACTGACTTCTACCTGATTTGTTGGACTCGATTAGTCACGGTTTCTCATTAGAACTTCAGGAATTACCACTTGAAGTTACTAACTAGGGAAAACTGACTGGTTCTAACTAAGTTTGGTTCATGATGTAAACTATAATAAAATTCAATAATCTTCACAAACGCTTCACATCTTTAATTACTTTCTTGTTAACAGTAATAGTAACATAGTGTATATTCACTTGTCCTTTGAAATAACATCTATATTTTAATGTTTCTTCCCTTCATTTAGTCTAATGTGGGATATTTTAACTTTTTCACTGAACCATCAAATCACCTATATACCTATATATAAATTGATAAAAATAGCAAATATTACTTTTGAATTACTTTACTTCACAGTGGACTTAGTGAATGAAAGAGTTGCTAAACAACTGTATAAACTTAAGTTTGAGGAACTAAAAACACGTTGACAAGTCAACATTATATACAGTTAATGGTGACTTGATAGTTATGAGATGCAAAATTAATTAGTTCAATTATACTTTAGGTCATGAAAGGTCCTGAAAAAGTATTAAACGACTGTTCATTCCTTCTTGATGGCTGTTTCAGGTACAGTGTCGTCTAACCAACTTAATTAGGAAATACATAAATAAAGAAAAGATTATGAAATCGGGTTTATTTTATCTAATATTTGTCATGACTTCTAATCTTTGTCAAATTTTTGTCTAGCCTGGAAGTTTATAGTAGTTTCTGAGAAAACATAAAGAACAAGTGAAGTAGACCTTAGTTAACGACTTTGTAAGAACATATAGTCATACACTTAAATTTTAATGATAAAAATGATAATAACCCTATTATTGTGGGTTACACATACTCTACCTGGAGTTCTGCTAGGATGAACGCCGATCTCAAGCCGGGTTAAAAGAGGAGGGCTGGGAATGGGGTTAGCAACCTCCCCTCCAAAAAAGAACCTTGCTATGTTAGCCAGAAAAAAATCATTCAAACTACTCAAACTCCGTTCCGAGATTTGAAATGTCTTCTCATAGAAGAGTTATGACGCCTTATGGTGAAAGTCGAGATTCTTCGGGAATCACAGGCTTGAAAACACTTCTGACAACTAGAGTGATTTCGTGGACTGATATTATGTGATGGTCTAGCCACCCCTATATTTCTTCTAAATTACTCGTACTCCAGATACCATCGTTTGTCGAGGTAGGTGGTGGTTAAGCATACATAACACTCAAATATGTTGTTGTTTTTAATAATCAGGGTGATTACACATGTATTTCAAAACTAATTAAATAAAAGTTAAGAATTTAATTTGTGTTAAGTCATTCATCTCTTCTCTTATTTTCTCCTTTTCTTAATAATCATAGATTCAGCATCAGATACTCGTCAACCACGTAGTCCAACACGTTTGGGTTATTTAATACGTGTTGGTCAAAGTTTAAATTTAACATGTCCTGGTGATGCTGTATTTTATCAATGGAGCCTTGTTGACCAACCATCACAAATATTATCAGAAAAACAGCTTTACACAATTAAATCAGCTACATTAAAGGATTCTAATCGTTATATATGTCATGCTGTACATGGTTATGGAAGAAGTTCCGTTGAAATGTCTGTTCGTGTTATAGGTAATTGTTTGTAAACATCTTTATAATGTTTATACACTGTTTCTTTGGCTTTCTTCTTAAAAAAACCTCTTCAGAAGACCTTGTCGACATATTCGGGCTTGAGAAGTTGATTGATTCAAGAATGAAGTGGTTATGATTCATACCGATGACGGTGGAATATAGTTGTGTTTTATCATGGGCTCACTGAGGTTGAATAAAAATAATGAGCTATATGGATTCCAACTCGGTGACCGCATGTTATGATTGATTGCCAAGATATTTCAAAGTCCTGCGTTTTATTTTTTTTTGTTGTATAGATTTTTGGGTAGGATTGATGAACTGTTCAAAATGAAGCTAAACCAGCTCTTTAATTCATTCCACAATCAATAGTTTTCTCAACCAATATCAGCATACAATCAATCAGTAAACCACCTTGCTTCTTATAATACCGAATATAAATATGACCCACCAAATCAGTTAGCAATAAAATACAACAATCATCCATTGTTATAGATAGATAATTGCCTCTTTTTCGACTTGGTTGACATCACAGATACAACTTCTCTTTAGAACTTCAGAAAATTTACAAGACTATATTCTAACTTAATAGACATGATGATGTACTATTTGTCATCGGATCTGATGTCTTGGTGACCTAAGCCGAACACTATGGTGCATGCACAACTGAGGAGCCCCAGAATAAAATCAATTAGCTACCCCCCATGTTTTATAATTTTTGCCGATCCTTACATCAGTCTATGATGTGGAATATTTTTCACCTAAGTAATAATAATTTCGTTTGTTTAACACATCATTTCTATGCATTAGTTTTTAAATACGGTCATATTCTGTTTCTTTTTTTAACAAAAAGTATGTAATACTTATCGTAATCTTTCAAAGTTGAAATCATGAGTCAATTGAAGCTAGACCATCATGGAGAACCTGGAAGCACTGGACGGCCGTTTCGTCCTATTATGGGACTCCTCAGCAGTGCGCATCCACAACCTCGCGCTCCCGTGCTTCTGAAATCTCCACAAATCCCCTTCTGATTATCGTAATCTATTAAATCAGAAGTTAGTTTTGTGTTTAATCTTCGGAAAGGAAATTGTACGTTAAAGTGTCAAGGTCGTAGTTTTTAATACGACTATTCTCAAGTTTACGCAAAATTTTTCTAGAAGTTAATAAAATAATAATAGATGATGGTCGTGAGAATTGATAGATTATAGGTTAGCCTCCTGTCTTCAGTAGGTTTGCCTTTTGTTGTTGTGACATTCATCATCATCTTGGTAGTCTTACCATATTTGTAACAATATGTTACAAGATGCAAGATGCACTTATGTTTAGTGGTAACAGCAACCGATAACAACCATCAGAAGTGTGGTTAAGAAAATATGTTACTTGGAACCAGAAGTTAATAGAGTTAGGTTTTGTTATGTAGTAGCGAAGACATAAGTACGGGTAACTTGCAGGACCTACTATTGGACTATCATTCTTATTGTATAACTATTCGGTAACTAGATTATCTATATCTATATTCATTTTATTGTAAGCTTCATTTCATTTTAATACAAATTTGTGAAATATTTTGTCTTGCAATTCGGCAGCATTTTTCAACGTCGGCGACGATCGTCTCGACCTCTTCGTCCACGTGATTCATCACGTCTACCATTCATTTCTCTCACAAAAGGCGGTGAATAGGTTGCACGAGGCCCCCGGGATATTCGGGAGCGTGAAAAGTCACTGTAGCCTCCACGGCCACGCATGTCGAGATGGCGACTCATACTCCTGCCGTCGTATGATTCCAGTGGGCTTCGACCTCGTGGTCTTCCCACTGGAACACCTAATGGACTTCGACTCTTTCGTCGTGATATTGGAGAATGTCCTCTTTGGTTCCCTGGTAACGGGATTCTCCCGGGAGATGATCGACGACGTGAATGACTTTGTAGGGATCGTATGAATTCCGCAGACGGGAGGAAAGGTAGCATAGACTGATAGCTTGACGCCCCGACGCAGCCCGACGCAGCATTGGCTACTTCTGATGAGTGAAAAGAAGAAAACTGGTCGTAATCAGGATAACGGTGACCGTTGTATGACGAATCTCTGTTGCTGTGACGAGGGGAATTTCGGCACCTAAATGAGCCCCTGCCACCTGATCGACCACCATGAAACGCTGACCCGATAGCGCTTTTAGTATGACCACCGTGCGCGAACTCGACTCTGATTCTTGAGCCACAAACGTTGACACCATTAAGATATCTTACTGCTTTCTCAGCATCCGATGACCTTACATATTCGGCGAATGCGAATCCTGGTGGGTTTCTGGCAACCCACACATCAACTAATTCACCACACTTAGACAACTCGCGGACTAAATCATCTTTGAGGATGTTTTCTACTAAACCACCGATATATAACTTCCGGCATTTTTCTTGGAAACCTGAAGACATGTTTAACACTCATACGTTATAACAGGTTTCAAATTCGTCAAAACACGAATATTTGGAATTCATTCCCTGTAACAAAATAAGAAGTGGAATAGTCTCTATTGTTCAATATTACATGAATTTTTACCGAAATTTTGAGCTATTCATGATGGTAATCATGTTTATTGAGATCTCATTTAATTTGAATCGATATGTTGATGATTTCGTGCTAGGTGATTAAAAGCAATTGGCAGAATACCGTGATTGATGTATGGCTTTTGTCTAAATTGTGTTTGTCAGTCAGATTTGTCTTTAGCTTCAAATAAACTAGTGACCTTCATAAGATTCAAACCTAGTGTCTTAGTTATCGACATTACCGTGATATCGTTTATCAAAATTGTAACGAAACCTAGATTAGAGACTTTTGCCGATAGACTTCACCAGAAATGCACCACCGTGGTGCTGAGTCATTTAAACTAATAGCCATACATTCCAATTTGAATGAAAAAATTCATTCGGAACTAAATCTTAGAGAATAAGCAGTGAACCTTCAGGTTTCACGGTAATCCTGATACACTTAGACCAGCGAATACATGGTATTCAATGGCTAACTGTTTTAATTTTAATCAGTTCATGTTGTAGTACGATAACTGTTTTATGTTGTCGGTAGTAGCTATCCCATTCTTGTCTTGAGTAAACTCCATCAGTTATTAGTTTTCATTAGAACATCGAGTTTTATTCTCATGAGGACGTGCAAACTACTGAGAAGTCTCAAATTAGTACAAAACGATTAACTTTAATGCTTCAAAGTTTTCAAGGATACTATAACTGAAATAAGTTACTGACCAAAATTGTCTCATAGGTATATCAAGTATCTTTTCTATCATAATTATTATCTACAATTCAGTATTATTCTATGTTTTCTTAAAGAAAAACAATAGTTGGTTGGAGATAACTGACAAGAAGCCTTGATGATCATTTCATTTAAATCTATGATTCTATTTATTTAGATTAGTCCATACATGTACTTTGTAATCTGTGTTGCCAAAAATCTACCACTTTTCTAAGAAAAATAAGTAGTACTGTTTATCCGTTTTTTTTACTTTGTTTATGTTTTGGATATGATAGGAAATAGAAACTTATGTAGATATACCATGTACTTTGATTTATAATATATTAAAGATAATAAATACAAAAACCAACCATAGAATTAACATCTTAATCAATTCTATTGATATAACTGAATAAATTGATATGACAATCTACAACGGATTGCACTGATTTTTTTATTTTAAACACATAAATATTGGTACAAAAGGGCACCAGATATATATGCGCCACACAAATCTCATTTGATTTGTATGAGGGCTGTGATACTGCCTAGGTACCCAAACTGAAGCAGGTGCTTTTCTTAGGGGACCACACACGGAGCCTGTGACCTAATGGCCTGATCCATAAGGCAGTGGAGTATCGTAAGGTGATGTAGTCTGATGGTGGCCGGTGACCAACGATTGATCCATACGCCATTTGTTCCCTCAGGATACTGGAGTCCATGTGCATCATTGGTTTGAAATGAGGGTTTTCCAACTTCCCTAGGTGAACTTTCCGTGTCCACCAACACGGTCAAAGCGCCGTGCATTCGCTTTTCGACCTCTCAATTTCGTAAACAACAGTAATGCCACGTGAAGGCAGTGAGTAGGACTTCCCTGGTAGAGGCTATATACGCGTGGCCATGTGAGAGCATTTGGAGAGGGAGAGCGGCTCCTCTCCACTCTCGGCCGTACGAGGGCATTCGGGGGCGATTGCAATGAACATCATACGAAACAATAAATAGAGATAAAGTTGCTTCATTTACATTCAGTACCATATATCTAATTGAGCTGCAAGAATATCAGATGATAGCTGTGTTTTGACTGTGAGTTATAATTGTTCTGGAGCAAAAGTATGATTTTTATACACGTTATAATCCAAGCTGTCAGAAAATGACTAAACTATTTTTACGCTGACTGATTTGATAGCTGAGTAAATTGTCGAACTTAGAGACTATTCAAACAACGTATCGGTATAAATCTGAACCTGAAATAAAAACTCCTACCTCTCTAGTCAATAAATCAATGATGATATCAGCCCCGATAGGCGATGTTAGCTACAGTAGAAGTATAATTAGAAAACCCTTAAACTGAATCATGTGTAGGACTGCGAGCTTAGTGTTACGTAGTCTGTGAATCAGTAGCATTATATTCGTTTATTTATTAATTTATTAATTAATCTATAATTCACATTTTATGTATGTAAAACAGGGGGAACAAGGGCGATGATTCTACTGTCAGAATACCTTGCATGAAGTTGATTTAGTGGACTCCGAACCTGAGATTAACAGTTATGAACGTAATTTAATGAAACACGTCTGATCGCTCAGGAAAATAAAATGAGTAGGAGACTGGGAAGAGTTTGTGAACTGTTTCCTACACTTTAATCCAGTTTCTAATTCTCATAGATATTACAAATTTAACACCCCTCTTTTTCAGTCTTTATTGATCTATCTTTTCCATCCTTATATGAAATATAGAAAATTGGAGTGATAGATACCCATCTATCTCAAATAACAGATTAATGTCGTCTATTTATTCACTTTGAATTTGCTTTGCGTTAGTTGGATGGACAATAACTTGACAACGAGAAAACACTGGACAGTTGTTTCATCTCAAGTTTTGGGTTTTTTTCAAAATGGTATTGAGTTAAAATCTAAGGGTTCATTTTCTAAAATTTAGTCAACTAATCGCTTTGATCATCTTTTGATTGGTGGTATCCGATTTTTTTTAACCTAATGGAATATAAAGTTTTGACTGTACAGTATAACGTTAACAATGTTTATCACCACTAACATCATTATCTCAATCATATCACAGTCATAATTGATTTGTATACATTTTTTATTTGCCGAAGAACTTTTATTATGACTTATTTTTCCTCCTCTCCCTCCAACTTTTCGTATTCTGACGATGATTTTTCTTTCTATTTTTGTCATTAGATTTCTCTTCGATAACAGCACAGCATGAATGTGCTATAGGCAGTAAAACAGGGAGTGTCAATACAAATGGTGAGTAGATAATAAAAGTTTTATTTTTATTTTAAATGGATGTTTGATTAAGAGTGACGATGCAATCTTTCCTATCCTTCTATAGACATATATGTTCCAAATGCTTAATTTTTCACTGATATACATACACAGATCGACATGGTTGGGTGATATCCGTAACCTTTCAGTGGACAATAAACATGCTTTATCCAGAATTATTTACCATTTTTTCCCTCCATTCGATGTGAGAATGCTGCATATCAAAGTGGGACTTTTACCATAGATTCCACTTCAAGTGTCTCAGATAATTTGTAGTTTTCTGTTATGAACATATCAGTGAAGCACAGGCCTAAATGCCGAATGAAAAATACAAATAGTCTCATTTAAAGCTCGAGATGATATCTCTATTTGACGATCATGATATGCAGTACTCACCTACCATATGTATGGAAAAGTAACCGGAAGTCCCGAATATGAAACGTTTAATGAACAACAAAAACATTGAGGATAGCTTCAACCATTGATACCAACTGGAAGAAAAGCCCATTGAAAATACCTGTAGAGAATAGAATAGAACAGAATTTGGTTGTACATCATTCTAGTTTGTAACTTCGTGTTACTTGTGAATCACTGATAGAACTGTCAAGTTTCTTAAGGATTGTGGTATCATTTTTTTGTGATCTTATTTATGCCATCACCTTATAATTAATTTCTATTCACAGTCTCATTCATTTAACCATTACTCCGGTTGTTGCTGATTTAAACAAAGTTTATTTCCGTATTCTCACAGTATGATCAGTTTCAAGATTCACCTTGAAATGATGCTTATTTCTCATTGAACGAACTAATAAATGAGTTGTCTGCATGATTCCCTAACTAGTTTACATTCTAACCATTGACTTTTTTTTCATAATTCAATCAGACTATTACCTATATAGTGTACAGTTTATTATTCAAAGTTTTTTTAAGGAAACTTTTATTTTTAATGAAAGAATTACATCTCAGATGTATAGTAGTGAAACTATAAAGTAATCATAGTGCTATTAAGAGTACGGCTGTAAATGTTCGTTGACTAAATTAGTTGAAGCATATGTTACAAATCCCTAGTCACTGCTTATCACACGACATTTAATAGTACTAACAAGTATAAAAGTGGATTGAAAATAAGGAAGACTAAATGTAATTGGATTAAAACACCACATCAGTTACAGTTGATTGGCCATTGAATAGTGAGTGATCAATTTTATGTTTTTCTGCTCTTTTAGCGCTGATCGAATTCCATCAATCAGATTGCAATGTAACCACTTGTCTGAGTGACTCAACACCGTATACATTATGTTTAGAGGTTTGGTAGTTTGAGGTGGTCGACGGGAAACCCTGTATTTACCTAGATTTTGAGCCATTTATCACTGGTTATTAAGGCATACCTGCGATTTTGATGGAACTGATGCTTCCCCATGGAATTCGAACCCTTACCACCCTAGGATTGTAGGCATGCCTTTCTGTCACTCGTCAACTACCACAATATCCATGTCAATACACAGTTTCCTGCCGATTGCCTCTGACCAACTAAGGGTAAATCGTATCATGAAATGACTAACCATTATATATGAAAGGTGGTTCACACAACAAGTATAATCATCGTCATTTAAACACATTTGTTTCGGTTTTCTTTTCTTCTCATTAGTTTTTTTATAATATTTTCGTATAATAATTTAAGCGATAAGCAATTTGAACTAATGTATATCTTTAAATCTTATACTTTAGATTCACTTAGTATTGTTTGTTTGAATCTTCCCATTGATGCTTAGGTCTGCAACTGGTCAGTCTCTTATTGGCATATGTGCATACTGTGCGTATTGTCTCGATATAGCCTTAATTCACAAGGATTATAAGCAAAGATGGATAGTGGATAGCAGTGGAATCCAGTTTGACGCTTGTTTCGTCCTATTTGGGACTGGTCAGCTTGATGTACCTGCATCTCAGACTTGTTGATGTTCACTCTGGGGCTCGAACCCAGTAACTTTCGATTCAAATGCCATCGCGTTATCTACTCAGCTACTGAGTTCTGATAGCCACTTATAGACTTTAAAATTAATTTATGTTATTACACACACATACATGTGTGTATTCATCATTTATTCCTTCCAAGTGATATCGACATTTGGTTTCTTCTATGTTTCGGTTTTCTTTTCTTCTCATTAGTTTTTTTATAATATTTTCGTATAATAATTTAAGCGATAAGCAATTTGAACTAATGTATATCTTTATAATTTACAGTAGATCTTATTTTATTTATAACTGAGTAGCTTACTGATTGACTGATTGAATTCGTTTCAGTGTGGTACATTCTTTTCCCTAATGAGATTTACAGATATACCTAATTACAATATCATATGAAGTCTGTTACATGAGATCATACTAGAATCGGTATAAATGTTCATGCTTTTTTCAATTAACTTGATTAAAAAGAATACGATCTTCAAAAAGTAATTGATTTTCCGGGTAAATTTTTCTTCAAGTTGATTCTGTTTAACTAATCATTCAAGTGAATATAATCTGTGAAATAATGAATACTGATATGTTTATACGGATATAAGTATTGAGATATGTGTGTATATTCATCCATAAGCTTGCTTTTAATAATTTCCAACTAGCCATAGATTCTCTTTTCATTTACTGTAAACGTGCTTGTTGTTGATGGTCAGTCATTCGTTATGCTGGTTGTTTCAGCTGTTAGTTCATTTCTTGTTTATTTTGATTTTTACATTGTTAGTTAAGTTTATTTCAATATCCAGATGGCGTAAAAACATTTATTATGTGCAAGTTGGGAATTTTCCCTAGGGAGATAAATTTTTCGATTGTTTCTAGTGTTTGTATGAGTGAATGCATCGTTGTTTACGACTGAATGATTGACTGAGTGAGTGATTGAGTGAGTGAGTGAATGAGCCAGTGAATTAGTAAGCATACAAAGGAGAATATTGAAGCATAAAATAAATAGTCAAATATTTAATTTTCTTATGTATTATGCTTAAGGATGGTTAAAGATCACTACTATACGATGGGTTTATTTGAAGGAATAGCTATTTTTTCATTTATTTATACGATAACGCACTTTATCCTGTTTTATTTAAACACATAAACATTGGTCCAACGAGGCATCAAATGCGTATGTACCATACAAATCATTTCATTTGTGTGAGGGCTGTAATACTGTCCGAGTGCCCAAACCGAAGCAGATGCTTTTCTTAGAGAGCCACTACCAGAGCCTTTGACATATAGGTCTAGTCCACAAGGCAGTGGAGCAACGTCAGGAGATGTAGTCCCATGGTAGCCGGTGACCAACAACAGGTTCATTCTCCATTTGGCCCTTCAGGATCCTGGAGCCTATGTGAATCATTGCTTTGGAATCAGAGTTTCCCAACTCCCTTAAGTGGATCTTCCGTATCCACCAACGTGGTTAAATAGTCGAACGTTCGCTTATCGTCCTCTCAATTTCGTAAACTACAGTAATGCCGCGAGAAGGCAGTGAGTAGGACTTTCCTGTCAATGGTTGTATGCACGTGGCCATATGAGAGCATTCCGAGATGGAGAGGGGACTCTCTCCACCCTCAACCGTACCAGGGCACTTGGCGGCCACACTGGTGAATAACTATGGTGATATTAAAAGCCCAGTACTAATTATCCGGTTATTCTATCCATTGATAAAGCTCTACACCCGCTATTTCACCAAGATCCAGTGTCACACTTTTTGGTCTTGTCTTAAATAAGATTACTTAACTGGTCACTGCTTTTTACTAGAACTCCAGAAAATATCTCTTGAAGTCAGTCATGATTTCAACTATGAAAATACTGAAATCTCCACAAAATCCCTTAAGATTACTTAACTTGTGTACTGGTTTAGGCATTCTACAGGGATCTGCTTTATTGTTTTCTGTTGACTACGTTCATCTTAAAAATATATACACTGACGTTTTATGTTCTATTTCACAGAGTTCAACATCTCATATTAGATACTTTACAGTGGTCTTGCGTGCTGTTAGAGGTATGAGGGCAGTTATCACTTCCCGGTTGCCCATACCGTGGAAGGGTTTAGAGTAGAAGATACCCGTAAATTACTAGTATTTGACCACAGATTCCTTAGAAATATTGCTCAAATCTGCTGGAATCACCGGCTAAGTAACAGTGAGGTTAGACACAGGGTATTAGGGAATGATGGTAAATCAGTTGATGAGGTTGTGGATCTTCATCGACTGAGATGGTTGCGCCACGTGTTACGTATGCCTGAACACCAATTACCACAAGAGTTGATGGCGGCCAAACCAAAACGTAGCATCAGTGCTTGAAGTCACTAACTTCTAGTCTGAGCCATGTTGGTAGATGCAGACTACCTGGTTGGGGTCCTCATGACTATCGTAACCAATGGTTGGAGACTCTGTGTGACATGACTCGGAATCGATCACAATGGCGTAGGTGTATGCACTCTTTATCTTCCCTTAAACCTTCAGATTAAAATTGCTTCCTAACTTTTTTCCTTCCTATACTATATCCTTATATACAACCTTTCTTTATATACTACCACCACTAAATTACCTACTTCTATGAATTCGGTGTTCATCTTGTTGTACTAACGAGGTATGGCAACTTGGACCGATGCATATATGTTCCTGGTCCTACGTTGTAGCTGACTGACTGAGATACTTTACAACAGACCAAGACAGTTGTTATTTAATCTCTAAGTTATTTGATATTAATACTTGTTGGAGAGGAGTTAAAAATTTTCATCAATCACACAAGGGATGCAAAATTGTATGGTCTATTCAAAATACCTCTAGTTCTAAATATGTCTCTAAATGATGGTAGCTTATAATGAAATCAGTCTTCAGTATAAATCAACTTTATTTTATATATTTACAAATAGAAAAACATAACCAGTTCATTTGTTAATAGTCATAAGTTAATCGAAGGGAATCGCTTTTTAAAAACACATCTGTCTAATTCATCTTACTTCTCTCAAGGAC